ATACTATCACTAAGGGGGTGATTGGATATGAATTCAACTAGTCAAAAACTAGTTTTTTTTTAATTATAGTTAAGTTTGAAAAAAAGTAATATGGTTAGTTATTAGTGGATATATTAAAATAATATTTAAATTAAAATAATTAAAGTTGATTTGATGTAAAAGTAGGAGAAAATGATTGGAAGTGATGGTTAGTTAAAATTATGTGAGTATGTGAATAGTGAATTAAAGTTGATGTGATGTATAATAATGATTGTTTGATATTATTTAATTATATTGATAATATTAGAGATAGTGGAGTTGAGTTAAATTTGAGTTTTGAGTGGGATATTTACTGTATAAAATATAAACAATCACGCCCTAAAGTTTTGTCCAACTACCTTTCAAACTTCCAAATAACTGGAAAATCAAATATCAAAAACATATATCCACAATGTGTTTGTGCGCATGTGTTTTTATAAAAGAAACTATACTTAAAAACTTGAGCTTCAGCTTAATTAATCCTCGATCTCACCACCATTTTCCTTTCTGAAGGCCTATAATTTTAGGACCCTTTTGGTTAAGTTGTGTCGAGTTACTTCTTTACAGGTTGCTCTGGGAGACATGGCTGAGCTGCAAAGAGCAAACTATCATGCTGACAAATTGCCACCTGGGAAGCTCAGGTTTGAAATTATTTTGCTAAAACTTCGTTTTTGTTGTACATTACCAAATAGTAAATACTCAATTGTAAATGTTTCGGCCAATTCTTTTATTTACAGCACGAAAGGAGTTGGTGCAACTGCTCCCAATCTTTCCGAGGCTCAAACACTCGAAGATGGCGTTATTGTTCCCTTGGGAAGACCGAAAGAGCAACCGGGACCCAAGGCATTTTATTTATTTATTTATTTTTATTTTTTCTATGAATAAATAAATATCATGTGCATACAAAAAGTTGTGTCCTTATATTCCTACTAGATTTTAGGTTTACAGTTCACACTCTTTTGCATTGAGAAGTTGATTTGTTTCATTGTGTTGCAGGGGGCTCTGTTGTACAACGAATACATAGTTTACAACGTGGATCAGATAAGGATGCGTTATGTTGTCCATGTAAAGTTCAACTTCAAGTGATTTGTATATAGAAACCAGTCAAGTTAATTAGATGTATTTGGACTTTTTTGTTGAGATTTAATACGTTCCTGTTGTATTAATCATGTTGGGGTTTTTTATTTTTGTATTTGCAAATTATTATTTAACAAATAAATTATAATTTTGATACTGATATATTAAACAGCTAAATATATTTACTTTATTTTTTAATTGGTTTTGTTAATTGGTTTACAAAGTATTGTTGAGTTAACCCCGTCTTTCGTCACTGAAAGAGTCACGTTGAGCCGTTGTGGAAATTTAAGTTCTTCGCGCTGGATTCATTTATCAAGTTCTTTTAATTTAAATTTTAAATGTTACACCTCTAGCAAATTGAGTGTATAATTTTTAGAAAAAAGAAATATACAGTATTGTTTTTATAATTTGCTTGTTTTATCAAATGCGAAATTGGATCTCTTGTTACTTTTGTTTTTCGTAATAATTGACTAGTAGGTGAAGTAAGGGTGGGATATATAGGAAAAGATTTTGAAAACATGAGATCCTATTTCGGGGTAGCTGTGTTGTGTCCCGTCTTTAGCAAAAATCATCTCTTTGAAAATACAAACAAAAATAAATAATAGTAATAGAATGCTATTTATTCTTTCTTTATTTTTTTATAAATTTATTAACAAATAAAAATAATAATTATCATTAAATAACTTTTTTAGTAAAAATATTACTTATACAATAAAAAAAATTTGTAACTATCATTTATTTTTTTATTGCCTCGATTAAAAGCATCAGGGCCAGGCAGCGGGCAGCCTGTCCGGGACCGGGTAATAAAATACCCATTTAGATACTCGAATTTACAGTTTTAAGGTTAAAAAACACGGAAAAGAGCTGGGCAAGTGAATAGGGGTTTAGGGCTTTTCTGGAATCGAAATTACACATTCAACTCACAAAGCAAATTAAGAATCGTTATTCAGACAGAGACAAATTTTCAAGGTGTGCATTGATTATGGCCGAAAGACAGCCACACGAAGCTCCGAACGATGCACCGGCGCATTCCCCATCTCCGCCGCCGGAGGAAATGATCTCCTACGTGATGGCGATGGAGGCCGCCCTGTTGCCATGCTTGCCGGCCAGAGAGCTTCAGGCGATCGACCGCTCTCCCCATCCTTCTCACCAGAGTAACCTTTTTTTCCCCCAATTTATCCTTTGAATTATCGTGGTTACTGCAAGGTTTTGGGGTTTAAATTCTTCAATGAATGTGAAATGGAAATAACGAGTTCTTGGAAAATCATGAGTGGGTTTTGATAGATGTGAGCAGCTGATTACATTTCTGATTTGGCCGTTTTGATTTTATCTGACCACTAAATATGAACTGGAATCTCCTGGTCTTAGAAAATCATGAGTGGGTTTTGATTAATATGAGCTGCTGATCACATTTTTGATTCAACTGTATGGAATTTAGCTGACCTGCCGAGCATCTTCATTTTCGAAAGCAGTTATAATGATGGATGATTTGCTGTTCTTCGATTTATTTGAGTGATAAACTTAAGGAAGATGTTGAATTTTGTGTTGTGGGATGTGCTGCAAATTAACAGTTTTGTTGTCTAAATCTTGGAAAATTCGTGCCTAACGGTAGTAGGGCCCATTCCCTCTTCGGGTTTTTTTACCGTTGGATCAACACACACCCATGTGGGTAGGTGTGAGAGTGTGTGTGTGATGCTAAAAAACGTGGTAAGGCCAGTGTCTTCACCGATAGAATCGAGATCGACTCTTCCCTGAATCTTATCTGTTTAAGCTATACTAGATTTGGGGTTTGCTGCATGGCAATCCATTTTCCTTTTTGTTTTTTCTTTTTCTTTTTGTACCTCCCATGTTCTTGAGTTAGTGAGATTTTCTCTCCTATTCATGTAATATGTGTTCTTGGATTATCATGTAATGTACCTCACGTTTGGGTTGAGTAATGTAGTTTCTTATTTGCTTTAGTTGATGTCGAGAGACACGCCAGAGATTTTATGGAGGCGGCCAAAAAGCTTCAGCTTTATTTCATTGGTTTGCAACGAGAAGAACAACCCACGAGAGCAGAAACCCTACGGAAGGTAATCTCACTGATACATGCTTCTAAGCTCCATTTTTTTATTTTTTTTTTTAATTTAACACATCTACTGCTGATAAGTGATTTTTGGTTTTCTCTCAGGAGATTGCTAATATGGAAGAAGAGTTGAAAGTGAAGACCGAGCTAATCGATAAGCAAGAGAGATTAATTCAAGGATGGAGAATGGAGTTGAAAGACCAACTAGAGAAACACAACATTGAGTTGGAAAGAGTTTGAAATATTGACTATAATAGTTTTTGGGTAGTGCAATACATTTGTGTTTTCGAGTCGTTCAGAAATCTAGTGTGCCGTTGATTAGTAGCAATCTAACTCCATCTTGATCAAATTTGAGGCTAGAAACGGTTGCACTTCAGTTTTAGTTTGTATCTGTGCAACAACTTAGTGTTGTATTGCCCTTTTCGTTTGGTGAATAATGGCAAAATCCTTGAATATTTAAGTGATCAAGCATAAAATTGGTTAGTTAGATTGTAGTATTATGCTGACCTTCAATAGGACAAATTTAAATGTTGCAGAATAATACGTAGAAAAGAAAAGCCCTTTAAGTGAGCCTGTTTGTTTGTTTAATAAACAAGTTCATAAAACGAAAATCTTAAACAAGTTCTCAAACATGAAAGTTATGCTCCATTTCATTATTTAAAACTCATTAAAAAAATATATATATAAATTGAAAACGAACTGTTCACGAAGAAGCTCGCTACTTGTTTCATGAGTAAGTTCAATTAGCTTCGAGTTTAACTTGTTTAAGTAAACAAACGATCTGAGCTTGAAATTTTACGAGCCGAAAAGAGTTATGTTCGTGAACAACACGGTTCACTTAATAGCTCTAGATTTGGGGGGCATTTTAGGGATTTTACTTATCTTGGGGCCTTGGGCCATAGTGGATGGGTTTATTACATATATGCGCGCTGAATTTAAGTCGGATGGCCTAAATCCCACCAATAAATGGGCATGAGCCCTCTGATCTGTATAGCCGGTAAATCCGTTCACTGCTCATGGTTTTTGCATTGCAATTTGCAGTTTTTCACTCACACGTAGAAATAAAGATGTACACAAGCTGGTTCAAGCTCGAACTCATTTTATTTATCAATATGAACGAGCCGAAATTAAGTCTTCTGAGTTGAATTATGCTAAAAGCTTGCTATAAGCTTAGAAAAGTACGTAAAAATGTCTATTCTCGAGCTTAACGAATCTCAACGAGGCGAATCGAGCTCTAACATTGACAGTTGGGCTTATGAACAAAATGTTTCATTTAACAACTCTAGCTATACAAGTATATATAAGTGAACGATTAAAAATAATAATAATAATAATAATGAATGCATATGTTCCTTCAAATTAGGCTATGATTGAAAGAGTTCTACTTCCAACCAACGTTACATTTAGTGGGGGCAATATTTCAGTTTTTGTAAGAAGTATGCATGGTGGGGTGAAAAAATAGTTGGCCAGAACCACAATTGTCACTCTTTTGTGGTTCATAATAATAAAACTTCTGGAATAGCTTATCCATTAAAACTTATGTATAAGAATATGCGGCCTCAAAGTATTGAACTCGTAATTAATTATCCTATTGGACTAGGACTTTATTTATAGTCAAACAAATTTGAGTCATTAATCTGATATTTGATGGACGTGCCAGATTTAAAACAACCCATATATACATTAGTCATCTCTCCTCTAATTAAGGTATATAGAATTTCCTATCAGTTGTCTGCTACGTTAAGGAACGGTCAGGAGGGAAAAATTTATTTGGATCAAAAGAATTACGAGAGTCTCGTGAGATCACCAAGATCAAAATCATAATTATATCGTCTTCCGCATTAAATAAGTATTTCGTATACATCAAATTATTTATTCAAGATCCATTATGCTTACATTATGTACCCACATTCGTGGATTTGAGACATTATATTCTCTGAATTACAAATACAAAAATAATCACGTAGTGCTTTAGACATGCTTAGAGCATCACAATTTTGGACCTTAAAATTCTTACAAAGTCATGTAGATGATCAAATTACAGTACATCTTGTTGTTGTTATATGAAGTACATTAATTTAATTTCCAGTACATCTTGTTATATGAAGTATGGTATGGTGAGTTGGAAAACAATAGCATTTATAATGTTGATATCACTTTTTAATATCTAAAATCATATTAATTGTGACGATTCATCAAATCATTTTATATTAAATGAAAATTTCTTTTTTACTCTTATTAAGAGTACATGGTTAACTTATAGTAAAAGGTGATCCGACTCTCAAAATCCAAACATTATGCTATTCGGCGTTGGTGTCATATTCAAATTGAGTCTAACATTCTGTGTTCGTGGCCATTAAATAAAAAACTAAAGACTTTGCTTCAGCTAAGCTCATGAAAGTTACTCATTTGACTTATAAAAAATCACAAATGGGTTGTTCGTGAATACGATTTATTCGTTCGCAAATATGCTCGACTCGATTGTTCCTTAAAATTTATAATTTTGTTAAAATAAATAAATAAATAAATAAGCTCGACTCATTTATATAAAAAATAAATTAAATCGATTGTGTTTCGTAAACAATCTAATTTGATTATATTAAAAAAAAATAGTAAAATAATTTAATATCAAACAGCAAATCAACGTTGAGTTGACCAGCCAGCATTGACTCCGCCGTTGGAATATACTCAGGTCTCGAGACGTTGTGGAGCCACGTTTCGTAAGATGGCATTTTGTTTTGATTGATTTGTTCTTCCTTCTGGCCGGGTATTGGTCTTAGCGAGTTTCTTGCGTGAACCGGTTCACTCAATCACACACAATTCAAATTGACCCGTTAAAACAACACAAATTAGTTTAATTGTTTTATTATTGTGTCATGATCATAGTGTAAAGGAATCGAAGCTCAAGCTCATGTACTCAAATTTTGAGTTCGAACTTTTAATAAGTCGGAGTAGGTCGTTAATTAAAACGAGCTAATAATTGAGCTCAGGCTCGATAATTCCAACATATTAAACAGGATCATGCAATATAAATTCACAATACAATTAAATTAGCGATATTATCTGAAATTGTAATTTAAAAAAAAAAAAATTACGAATCAAGCCCGACTTATTAATCAAATGAGCTTACAATCACAATAAATAAGTTGAGCTGAGTTTATAAGCGGCCCGTTTGTTTAATAGTTCAAACTCATTACTTGTCAATTGGGCTAATAAGCAATTTAGAGCATGTTTGGATATGAAAATTTTAGTTTTGTTGGATTTTTTAGTTTGGTTTGGTTAATTTTGGAAAAGGTAGTATGATTAATTGTTAGTAGGTATATTAAAATAATATTTAAAATAAAATAATTAAATATTTGATGTGATAGTTAGTTAAAATATTGTGAGTGGATGAATAGTGAATTAAGGTTGATGTGGTGTATATGAATGATTGATTGATATTATTTAATTATATTGATAATATTGATGATAGTGGAGTTAAGTTAAAAAAAATGGTTAAGTTAAAATGTTAGAATTTTTTTGAGATTTCTTATATACAAACATGCCCTTAATAACTTGCATATTTTTTTTTAGCTTTTTTTTTTTAATATATGGTGAAATATTAACGTATTATCATATTTGCCTTTGAAATAGTCAATCACTCTGTCGGAAACTAAAGTTTACAATAGGTTTATAAAATATCCAAATGCTATACATTTTTAAATTGGGTTTCAATCTGAAGTATTAAGTATATGTTATTGAAAGCTGCAATTTGCTTAGAAGTAGTGCCTCCAATACTTAGGCTGATAAAGTTTCCTTTATGAACTATATATCAATAGGCTATATATAATGCATAATAAATATCTTATAATTATAAAATTATATTGCTTTTTAAGTTAAGGTTTATATATAGTCTTATAGATGGAGGTGTTTGCAATAAATTAAAACAACCATTTGTGTGGAAAGTTAAGGCTCAACGTAAAAAAAAAAAATTGAATCATATTATTTAAGTATTTACTGAAAGGCTAGAATATTTGAAGTTACCTAAATGTTAAATTAGTTTAATGTTTATNCACTAGACCTCAAAATTGAAATAAATTACATCGATATACATTGAAGGTGTTCCGATTTATTCCATACTGTTACGAAAAATATTTTTTTTGTAATAATGTAAATTTTTCAATAAAAAAAGGTAGAAATTTTCATTTATTATTGATTTATCTTATTAATTTAGGTCCACTTAATCATTAGATAGACCATTTTTTTCCATTAATTAAAAACAATCAATACTTAAACATGTTAGACAATCAAATTTTTTGTCATTGAGATGCATCACACAAGTATTTATATATTTAAAAATATCATAATATTAAAAAACAATGTAAAAATAAATATAGCATAAAATAATGTAAACATGCACTTTTTGTACATATATTATGATAAATCGACTTAACAAACATTAGTCTCCCACGAAAATTTGTGTTTATTAATAAAAAAAACTCAATTATTGCAATAACATGCCCTGCAATAATTATTCCACAAAGTAGAAAATTTGACCAAATTGCCCAATTGTCAATGAACATGCGGAGAAACAACCACGGTTTTATTCAAAACCATCTCGTATTTCTCCTCATCCCACTTTCCTACTTTTCCCCTTCATTAACTCTTTCACACGTTTCCTTTTCCTATAAATAAGGCGGCTTATTGCCAGAATTTTTCATTCATTCACAAAACCTAACAAAGAAACTCTTTCACACCAACAGCAGAAAAGGAAAAATAGAAAATAGAAAAAATCCGCTTCTGCAGATTTTTTCAAATATATATTTTTTTCCTCTTTTCTGTTTTAATCAATTATCAATTTTTGTTACGAAATTGAAAATGGCCCGCGTTTTGATTGCCAAGGAATTATCAGCTGTCCTCACCAGGTACACACATGGATTATGTTATTTTCTCCTTTTTCTTAAATTTGTTTCCAATTTTTATGCGATATATTTATATATAAATAATTATATATTGAAACGTAATTAACTTTTTTTTATACTTTTTACTAAATATATGATATGATTGAAATTAATTGATGATTAACGGCGGGTTAATTTTCTGATTACAGGAGAGGTTTTGCCACGGCGAGTCAGAGCGTCGGGTCGGGCACCTCGATAAACGGAGCCCCGGCCGTGATGTTGAAAAAGGGGTCGGAGGAACCCGGAAAGATTTCGTGGGCGCCCGACCCGGTTACCGGATACTACCGACCCGAGAACCAGTCCAATGAGATGGACCCGGCCGAGCTGCGCGAGATGCTCATCAATAATAACAAAACCAGAGGACAGTGAAAACCAATAAATGGGCCTTTTTTGGAAAAGCCCGGCGGCCCATTAACCAAGGAGATCTCAAAGCATTAGTCGAAACGTCGTCGTATTATTTTATATATTTTAGGCTAGCATTGTTATGGTGCAAAAGCTGATTGGATTAAAACAAAATATATATTTATTTAAATTTGAGAATATATATTGGCGAAATATGAAATTTCTGTTACTCGTTACTCCTACGGTCATGTGTTGTCAGGCTTAATAAAATCTAT